TTTTTGGTTCCATTTTTTCTAATATTGGTCTTCTTTCACTGAATTTACGTCTTGCTGTTTCCTTAATGGGAGATTAAGATTTAATCATTCTTTGTTCATTTAACTAATTAATCATTCCTCCTAGATCAGTTCCTGATTCCCAAGAATCTATTTAAAATAGTTTTGGTGGTTTGGTTCTATGGATCTCTTTCAATTTATAATGATCATCTGCAATTTCTTCAGCATTAAAATTGGCTTCATCCTATTAACTTGTCTCACGTATATCTTACTCAAAATTAGGTTCAATATTCACTAAATTGTCCTCCAATCTCCAAGGTGTAATTGAAGTTCTTTTAGTGGGACTCATGGGTCGATGATGGGGTGACACTTTAATGGATGAAATTTAATTAGGTGATAAAGATTAATCTTGAATAAATAACATTTCTTAATTATCTAATACTTCTTTCTAATACTTTTTCCATTCAGTTGTATTTTAAAATGTTTTATTATGAATTTCATAAAATGTTTCATTTATCAAAATTAATTTAATCTTAAATAATGGTATGGTCATTGTACAAGTCTTATCAAAAATGACAGAATCTACCAATGATAAATCAGCTATAGGGGTTGCATTTAACTTACTGTACACTGTATTTAAATCCATCTTATGATTCTAAAATATATTAAATTCTTCTTAACTATCATTATTCTAAATTACTTTCTACTTTTTAAATTTAAATAACTTCTAACTTGAACTTAAAATTTATAATATATCCAATAATCCTATCAAATAATAAGGAAACATATTCAAATAAATCAAAAAGTAATTAGCTAAATATTATATTTTCCAACCATTATTAATATATCTAATTGATTCAATCATCCAAGATCCAAAAGATAACAAAATTATAAGTATTAATGTGAATTTATAAAAAGTATCAACCTTATTATCAAAGAAAGATTTTGTTGATTTCTCAAAATTGCTTAAATGATAATATTGACAATTTAAACCACAACTCAAAACAAGTCCATATATATAATCACAAGTTTATAATTATTATCCTCTATATAGAATATTCTCTTTTTTTATATCAACTGCCTAAGGATCATTCTTCAATCTAATAAATCCAGTATAAAAAGATTCAGATTTATAATCTTTATCATATGTTACTTTCCCGCTCAACAATAATCGATATTCAAATCCATTTCCTTTAAATTAATGCATTTTAGGTAAAGATGTTAATTCGTTTGCACTCTTTATTCCTTCATCTGTTTGTCCATTAACACATGTATTATTAACATAACATCTTTCTTGATTTGACTCCAATATTAAACAATCTGCAGGACAAATCTCATTTCTCTTTAATATTATTATATCTCCAATTTCCAATTCCTCCCATCTTATTGTTTCTATTATACTAATTTTTGTATTTTCATTCAATTCTACCAAAGGTTATGGAGATGATGGCATCATTCCCTTATCTGCTCTTTAAGTTGATACCAATTAAGTCTTATTTATTTTTTATTCATATTCCATTAAACTAATTTTTTTGTTTTGCATAATTTTCTTTAGTTTCTTAAACACTATCACTTGTCTTTGATTTATTAATCTATCTTCTTCATGTACCAAAATTATATAATACAATGTTTTTATTAAGTACATCACTATACTAAAAAGAAATGGTATAACAAATCCATATATAACCTATGAATTATTTTGAGTTATGCTAAGACATATGATACTGATCAGAAGGAAGATGTAATTGAATGGTCTTCTTAAATATCTCCATATAATACTCCCAAATGATTGTATAGTGGAGATTTTATTTTTTAATTCAGAAGAAGAGAATCCCTTTAAATTAACTGTGTCACCATTTTCAAATTCTATCTTGTTTATTAAATTGTACGATATACTTGCTTAGAATATGAGTCATCGTTCTTTTATTTTGTCTTTGTATATTTTCTATGCAGGTATTCATAAATTAACTATGATAATTTCATAATTTTAATATATAATTTCATACAACAATTAATGTTTGTAACCCTTTTCAATTAATATATTATCTTTATCAATTTATTCACTCTCCGTCATCACATAAATACCATATAATTTACATTTACAAAATATCATCTATTTTATTTGTAGATTCACAATAACTAAATCCTAAAACATATATCAAAATAGATAAATTTTATGTAGACTATAAATAATTATCAACAAAAGACGATAACTATATAAAATTAATTAAATTAAATTTTTCGTATTATATAATATAATCGCCACAGAATAAAAATATTTAATTTCTTGTTTCATCAATAATTGAATACATTTTTGTATATATAATATAAAAAGCATAAAAGATTCAACTTTATTAATTCAAATAATTAGAATCAATATTTAAATTGAATTTAGATATATTCAGAATACAGAATACCATTATGATAATATTATTCACAAGTATTTTATAAATTATCAATTTATCCTTCTTAAATTCTTAAACTTAATCTATTATTATTCAAAAAATTAAAAAATCAATAAAATTATGATATAAATATATTATTTTTTAAGATTGAAAATATTATAGATATATAACTATTATTTTAAGATTTTTTCATTGCTTTATCATTACGTTAAATATCTTAATTAAAATGTCATTATTTTAATTATTGAGAAAATAAAGTAAAAAGAAAAACAATTATTTTAAATTATTGTTATTTCAACATCATCATTCCTTTTATTCTTTTATAATTTCTTTATTTTTCATATTAATTTTTATATCATAACGATACTTATATGCAGATTATGTAACATACACATTTATGTATAATTTTAATTTATTATAAATATTAGAAAATTATATTATATATTCTTTATAAATAGATTAAATAGTGCTTTTTAATATTCATAATAGATATATATGATAAATAATGTTAATAATGGTATGTCTACAAAAGTATGTTAATTATCTCTATAAAGGTTATATATAAGTAGTCTTTTGATGAAATGACTGAAATCTAATTAATTGCATTATTTCTTAATATTTTTCATTTCATGTTCTCTTACCCTAATAATCAATTACAATCCTGAAAATTTTATTACAATTATTGCAATATATCAATCAAATGTTAAATATACTATAGTTTGAAACAAAACAAGATTTTCTTTGAGGATTAGAATATTCTAAATTTGAAAGAAGCTTTCTAGTTAATATTAATTAGAGTGTGTAATAAATAAAAAGGAGGGAGAAATAATTAAAAAATAAAAAAATTGGTCGGGGCGGGAATTGAACCCGCGACCGTTGGCTCATAAGACCAACGCTCTAACCAACTGAGCTACTCGACCATGTACAATGAAAATAATACAGATTTTCATAAATATGTATTAATTTCATAAATTATCAGTTCAATTGATTAATATTTAAAATAAAGTTTTGAATAGTTTGATGAATATTTGCATTAGTCTATAATGATTATAATAGATTAGAATATATAAGATATTTAATAATAAATTTGTTGTTAGTATGTATAATTTATCATATAATTCATAATATCCATTATATAGAACTGAATGAGTTATTAGATATATTTAAACAATAATTTTTTTTTGTACTTTTAATTAATGTATCTTTTATGATATCTATTAAAATTATTCATATCAATACATTAAAAATTTGATTTATGTAATTGATATTTGCAACCTACAATTTTTGATGTAGACATTAATTTAATAACATATTTTCAATGAAGATTTATAATGATTTTTAGGATTGTCAAAGTGAATATAATAAAATTAGATTTTGTATTGTAAAAAAATAAGATTTATTGATTCTATAGATTAAATTTATAAATATAATTTATGTATTATTTCAATCAATTAAATAATGAGTATGTCTCTTAATTAGTCCAGCACTGAAATCTAATTAAGAAACATCTGCTAAATTTGATTCAGCAAATGAGATTTATTCACTTTACGAATTAGATTGTACGCTTATTTATTTACTCTCTTTATTATTTTGTTTGTTGAGATTCTTATAAAATTTTTCAACATCTATTCCTCTTGACTTCATTGCCTTTACTAACCTTATTAATTTATGCTTTTTCTCTGATATCGAAAGCAATTCTTATTACATATCCCTAATTTATTCTTTATATTAATTGCGATCATTAAGCTTTTCTTTTCTTACTTTCCCTTTCTTGATTTAATTTAATTCATTCTGATACTTTAAGATTCTGTTTTGATTTTCATATTCCTTTATTTTATTTTCTAAAATGACATAATAAAATTACCCAATTTTTACTCATTCTCTGTAGATTATTGTTCTAATTGTTTTAATTTAAGTAATAATTAAGCCTTTTCATATTCATATAATTTCTTTTAATTGATATGGTAATTCTTGATAGTTTTTTTGATAGCTTAAATAAGTTAGATCAGTGTTAATGATAAATCTTATTCATTAAGACACAAGCTTAATCCTTCAAGTAATCTAGTCAAAATGATATTCAACTCTTAGATATCGATATCTTTATCTATATTTTCATAAGAAGACTAAATCAATCTGATTATTTCTTTTTTTGAAGCTTAAGATTTGAGATTAGATTATTCAGTGAAATAATTTTAGAAAGAAAGCCCATCTTTATTTTAAGGTGATTAAGTGGGTTATCTACTCTTTCATATAAATCAAATGATACCAATCGTTTTTGTACAATCAAAGACCTATTATTGAGTTAATATTTAGATAAAGATTATGATTTCATAACTACGTATAAATAAACATATCTCAAATTTTAATATAATGCTTTTATCTCAAACAACTTAATTTTTATGGAACAAAAAATTTAATCAATTCATATAGCCATTAAGTTCAATATAATTTCATAATCTCTATTATGATATAATATTTAATATCTATAACCTATTTTAATCACAAAATATATAGACTCTCTAATTAAAATATCATTACCATTAAATTAGTATCCTAGAATGAATTTAGAAATTATATATAAATATATATATAAATTTAATGAAAAATAGGCATATTAGTTTGTATAGCTATATTGCTTTCTTATTCGTTATGTATGGTGTATGGCATTTGACAATACAATCTAAGAAACATGGAGGGTATAATGTTAGTGAATTGTCTGATCTCATCTCAGAATTGAAGAATACAATCTAACCTCACATAATCTTCAATGTTTTAAATATTTTTACAGAAGAAGAGATGAATACATTTAATTAAACAATACATTAAAAGTATTCTGAATTTACTATAGAATTTAATATTGTCAATGATATTCATTAAGTTTAAGATTAAAATGGGTATCTAATATCATACTATAGTATATTAGATTACTTATAAATATATAGAAAGCATAATATACATTTTTATTCATTCAGAAATTGGATAAAATAACAATTATGACATAAGAGTTAAATGACCCTTCGATTTTTAAAAATTTAAGAAGATATTTAAATAAGTTTTATCCTCTTGTCGAATAAGAATCATAATTAGAAAGTAGATAATTTTATGTAAATAGACTTTTGATTTTTGATTTCTTTATAATAGGTAATCAATATTATTACTAATTAATAGATAAATAGAATAATAGTCAATATACTAATATAATTAGTGATATAGAAAAGAGTATACTAAAATTATAGGATTATTTTGGATTGCCAACAGATAATATAAGAATAAACTATAAATTTATAGATGCTTTAAACATTGAAATTGTTTAAAATCAAACTATGTTATAGAAACAAACAATTAATAATTTTTTGGATTAATCAAAATAATAACATAATATGAATTGGAAAGAATATTTTCAAATGAATATTTTAACTATTTTAACAGATGATAATGTTTCTATAGATTTAGATAATAGCGAAAATGTATAATTTTATTATTCAGAACCATAAAATTTTATGTTTTAAGTAAATTCTTAATAGATGTTGTTCAGAAATATATTCAATACATTTATATAAGTTTTTTAGTTGGAAGATTAATAAGAAATTATGATTGAGAATTAAGATTTTAAACCAACTTTAGAATTAATTAGAGATTACTTTTAGAAGAGAGAATTTTATAGGCATATTTTAAATTTCATAAAAGAATTACAATATATTCAATTTATTTAATAGGAAGGAGAATATAAAATAAGTCTAAAGAGTTAAAAAGAATTTGAAAATCGAGTCTAATACATTAAGGATACATTAAATAACAAGAATATAAGTAAAACAGATACAGTAAATATTTTGATTGATGATTCCTTTTCTGATCTTGATACTTTTTCTTTTGAATACACGTAAAAATATAAAATTAAAATAAATAGTTTGGGAATGTATTTACCTTTGATTTTACCCTTTGCATATCCAATATTATTGAGTATATATGATGAGTTGTCAAGTAAATGATAATAAAATGAATTATTTATTAATATTGCTTTATATATATTAAAGTACCATATTATCATTATTTACAATCATAATCCCAATTTTATTAGCAGAAAAGGGATATACATTTGAATAATAAGGTATGTATTCATTAATCAGCTATCCATTTTATTTTAAGTTTTTGTTTGCACCAATTATTGATTTGTATTAATTTTAATTCCTAGGCAAAAGGAAAAGGTAATCATTCAAGATTATAAAGCATAGTTATATTTTACCAATAAATTTATTATTATCAGTAATACTTTTGTATTTATCCAGAATTGACATTTTAACAAATTATCATATTTTATGGATATTTGGATTCATTTTGTGTTTGTTTTTAGGAATTCAAGATATTGCAATTGATGGATTGGCAACTGATTTATGTAAATAATAAGGAGAAAGTGCTGCATTATTATAAAATATTGGTTTTACTATTGGAAATTCGTTTCTTGGAAACTTTTTATTTATTGCCTTGTATTCATCATAACATTGCTCACTAGAAACATTCTTTATGATTTTATCAATATTAGGTTTAATATTGACTATTATCTTATATTTATATCTATTTGAATAGTAGGAATAATACAAAAGGACAACTAACTTTTAAGATTTAAAAAGTGTGATAAAATCATTTTTTTAAAATGAAAACATGATAACATTTTCATTATTAATATTTTTTGAAAGGTATATATTTAATATGATAGATTAGAACTGCATTGTCATCTTTGGATGCAACATTTAGATTAAAATTAGTACAATTCAATATCAATAAAACTTACATTTCATTTATAGATACAATTATATTGCCATTGAAAATAGCAACTGGATTAATATATCATTAATACTTTTATAAATATGATTTTAAGTATAATAGTGTAATATATATATAGATATTATGGAAATATTTAATATTTGAGATTAATTTCAACATTTTTTGCAATAATAACATTATTGTTAATTGATAAATTTGAATTAGATGGTCCATACAGTTATATTGCCATATTCCTTTCAAATATGTGTTGGTGGATTTTATTTAACATTACATATATTGTTAGAGTATAATTGACATTTATATAAAATTAAGGGTAACTTTTAAATGAAAATTACTACTCCTGGAGTTGAAGCTACAACATTGACAATTCTTAATAGTATCAGCCAATTAGGAGTTAAATTAGCATTTTCAATAAATTTGATAATGGCCAATTATGTAAATTATTATTGGCTGTTATGTGCTGGATGGATTATACATTTACTTTATTGCTTCAGATACTCAGAAACTTATAGAAATTTGTACATGTAACCCATTCAAATGTGGTATTTAAATAAATAAATAAAATAAATTTGATTTTATCTATAGACTATATAATATATAATTTCTGTTAATTAATTACATTCTGAAAGACATTTTCTCTTATTCTTTTATGTTTATTAAATTCTAGTATTGATTATTATATATTTTATGTTCAGTCTTTGTGTTTGAATATAATAATAGATAAGCTATATATTATTAGTTTAATATAAAGAGATTGGAAATTCAACAAATTTGTAAAGATAAAACTATCATATTACTCAAAGATATATAGATTCATATTCTGATAATAGATTTTTAGTGATATTTTTAATTGATTATGTCTATTTGAATAATATCTTAAATAATTAATTAGTATGATTGTTTTTATAATATAATATATATAGAGATGCATCTTAACAATAATTTTGAAATACATTTTTCAAGATATAATTTTATGAAGAATCAATAATACATATAATTTAAATAATATAATTGCCTTCATAATTAAGAATAATTAGATTATTTAAATTATTTAAATTATTGGGAATGGCTTAAGAAATATATAAGTTATTAGTATTGGCATATACAAGTACAGAAAATACAATTCGACAAAATGCTGAATTTTAGTTGATGAGTGTTGTAATTGAGAATATCTAAAATTTCTAATATATTGCATAGATTGCTAAGAGTTAAGATAATAGTAAATAATAAATTAAATATTAAAGTGCAAAGTTAGGCAGCCAGTTTACTGAATTCAGCAGTGTTAAAGATGTTATCAAGTAATGGTATGATATTTTGCACTAATTAATTTAGTTGAAATATAATTGGAACATGCACAATTAGTTTTTGATGTGATAACATCTTAATAGACTTCATTAAAATGCAAGTAATTATTATAGAAATCAATGAGTTTATTGATTAAAATAAAAAAAAGTAAATGATTTATGAATATAAATGTTTAGCAATTAAACCAGATATAGAAAATAAAATGAAATAATTGGTAAAGAGTGATTAATTATGGGAAATACAATCAGGATTATTTTTCTTTAAAACATTGATTGATTCTTTAGAATTATCATCATATAATTTAGTAATAAATTAAGGATTAGATTGGATAAGAGATTTCTTTGATTTAATATATCCAATATTTAAGAGATTAGATGAATAATCAGGAGATTTATCTGAAGAATATATAACAACAATAAGATATTATGCATAGATAGTATTGGAATTTTGTGAGAAATTATTCAAATAAAAGGCTCATAATAAAGAATCATTAATTCCACTTTAAAATGTAATGTTTAAATTAACATCATTTTAAATAACATTATTTGCTATATTTAAATACTCTCCTTAAAATAATATAATTTAAAGTTGTATAATATCATGTACAAATAATGAATAATTTGATAACAGAATAAATGAAATAAAAATGTATGGATTAAAATGTTTATAAATATTAATCAATTCTTTATTAAGTAAAAGCAAAAATGAATAAAAGAATAGTGTATTCTATAATCAACAATCAAATTTAACTTAATTATTACTTTATTCTATATTTGCATATACAAGATAAGCAAGAATTTCAGATATTTTATAGTAATTTCTAAAACTATAATTAGGAAATAATTTTTACCTAGTATCTTGAGTAGTATACTTAGATTATTGGCACATTTAGGTGGATAAGCTGAATTATATCCTTAATTTCAAGATTCCAAGAATCCATTGATAACAGATATAATATATCCTTTTTTAATTACTACTAAAAGTGAATATTAAATAATGAAAGATTAACCAGAAGAATTTGTTAATATTGCATTAGATGTTGTTGATAAATAAGAATCAGATTTACCAAAAACAGCAGCAACAACATTACTTGAAACTTTATGTGATCATATAGATGGATCAACATCTTTCTTAGCTTAAATGGCAATTATTATTATATCTTCTGCCATTTTAGAATTATCTCAATCTTAATTAAATAAATAATAATAGTAAATTATATTGGCAGATATATAAAAAATATCTAATAAAAAATTATTCTAAGAATTTACTCCTGTAGATAGAATAGAAAGTAGTTTGATGATTTTGACTATTATCAGTTATTTAGTATAAAGAAGATAAGATATTATATAATTGATGGAATAATTATTATAATAAAATTTATAATTTTTTACTAATACTACAGAATAAATAATTAAAGTTAGATTTGCTTTATTTTTTGGTTATTATTGTGATAATTTGTTTAAAGTAGAAACCTAATTTTAGACTATGTTAAATTATATTTAATTATTGATAACATATGCTAAACCATAAGAACCTGTTGTATTATATTAATCTATTGATGCATTAAAAGATATCTTTGAAGATGATGAATTGAAACATAAAACTGGAAATTTAGTAGTTAATGTTTTTCCATCTTTAATTAATGGTTTGGCATTCAGTACTTATGAAAAACATTTTGAAATGATTGGAAATCTACTCAAAAAATTTCCATAAATCTTTGTTAATAATGAAAATTACATTATTAGTTTAGTATAAATATTAGTCAAAAGAATAATTTAAGAGGAACTATTGATTTAAACAAATAATGATTCAAATAGATACATTCATTTAAATAGATGTTGGAATGTAATTAGATTATTACCAACTATTAATGAATTTTCACCTCTCCTTCTCATAATTGAATAAGCTATGTAACCAATATATCAATCACTTTTAATTGAAGAAAACAGAATGAATTTTGATGATGAATTAGTATTATTTATTTCTTCTGTTATCTAAAAACTCTAATCTGTATCCTAACTTCAAAGAGAAATCTTGCCATATTTTTCTTAAATCATAAAAAAACAATCTGGAAGATTAGGCTATTTATATGAAACTTTAAATATGTACATATATTATGGAAGAAATTATTTTTTATAAGAATAAGCATAACATACTTATTTTAAATTGTCTCTTTAAACATTAATGTAAGAAGAAGCCTTTGAAGATATTGATCTTGCAGAAGGAGCACTTCTAATTTAATTAGGAATTTAAGTTTTATAGAATGATATCAATTAAACATTATTAGCTTAAGTATTTTAATAAGTACTTTAATTAATTGCAAAAGAAAATGTTACTGGAATTATTCGATCTAGAATTACAGCCATATTTTTGGTTGCTTTTTACTTTATTCCATAATTATCATATTAGATATTGGGAAATCATTTTCAAAATGTATATTAAAAAGTATTGAACACTTAATATCATCCTGGTTATGATATTAAATTGTTCATTATTACAATATGTAAATTAATTTAATAATAACCTGAATTATTAAATATTGATTTGATTTTAAAAATAATTAAGAATTTGGAAAGTTAAGAAAATGAAGAGAAACCAGAAAAAGATGATTTTGAGTAATTTATTTATCAATTATTTAGTGATGATATGATGGATGATGATGAAGAAGATGATATTTTAGAAGAAGAAGAAAGATAATAAGCTAAATAATAAATTGAATAATTTAAAAGTGATTTATAAAATATTGATGAATTCACAGTTTTTAGAAATACAATATTGGGTTTTAAAAATTAGTAAAATATATATTTTTAATATTTTAGAAATCCATAAATTATTGAATTAATTAAACAAAATCTGGATAATTCTACTCAATTAAAATTAAATAATTATTTAAAATATATGAGAATTGATAATAGTGAAAGTGCAAGAAAAGTAAAAGTTCATATATATTATTATTAGGTTATGACAACTGGTAGAAGAAAACCTCGTTAAATCATATGAATCAATTATATGTAAATAAATAGTTTTTCATTATTAATTAAGATATATCTTTATAAACTTATTATTTACTAACTAAATCACTTAAATTTATTAACAACTTTCTAAACATTTTAATTTTCATTAAATATATGAACAATATAAGTATTATATAATTAATTATATAAAATATAGTGAATGAATTAAAGAGAAAGAAGAAGAATATATTCCTTATAAAATAAAGATCCAATTAATATCTTGAAATCTCGTATAGATGTCTCCATGGATAATTTATAAAAGAGAAAGACTTTAAATTCTGAATTACCTTAATTAATATAGAACAAAATGTAAATGGTTAATTACACAGCTTCTATGTAATTATAACAGAAAACTAAATATGAACAATTATCTTTAAAAATTCTAAAGGAACCCTATAGGGCATTAAATATAAAGTAAAGAATGATAACCAATCATTTTACGTTACAGTAAAAAATTTAAGACACTATAGCTTATGATTGCATCAAACATATTTTATCAAACACAGATAATACAATAATTAAGGGATAAGTAATACTTCCTGTTTAAAATGAATAATAATATACTATTCCAGTGTCAAGATAAGGTAGTAGAGTAGTGAAGTATGATCATTATGGATTAGTATTTGGAGGACATTCTCATAGAGAGAATATTGAAATTCATGCAATTTCATTATTGAATGGTTAATGGAAAAGGAAACAAGAATTTTGTTAATCATAAATAGAATAATTGAAATTAAGATAGATTCTAAACCCAAATTTGAGATTAGGTTGTTATTTTAGTTTAAATATTGATGAAAATAAAACAATTTATGCTTTTGGTGGAGAGAAGAATACAAATAGCAGAAGGACAACTAATATGGTAACTAAGATAAGTTTAGAAGATGATAGATTAGAATGGTAGTAATATTAAACTTCAATTGGTTGTCGTAGAAATCATAGTGGAATTTATAGTCATAATCATCTTATTATTATTGGTGGACTAGATGATAGTGAATTAAATACGAAATTTTATAATGATTTTTAGATGATAAATTTGATTAATATGAATTGTACTCAATTTTATCCAAAGTTTTATTCGAAATAAGTTATTTAAAATGATCATCCTTTTTAATTAGGTATAGCCTATCATAGTGCAACTTTAGTAGGTAATCCATATTTAAGAATGAATTATGATTTTACTTCAAATACAAAAAAGGAAGAATAAGTTGATTAATTGTTTACAAAAGAAGGCATTTATATTTTTGGAGGAAAGGATAGTGAAGACAATCTATATAATGAATTGTATTAATTAATTATTGATACTTATCCATCAGTATTATAGATTGTGGAAACTTTAGGTTAGAGACCATCTGGTAGAAGATCTCATAGTATGAATTATGATGAAAAGATAAGTGCATTATTATTATTTGGTGGAACAAATGAAATGGAATGTTTTGGAGATTTGCATTTGTTATTTTTAAAGAATTATACTTGGTAGAAAGTATAATTACAAGGGTATTTGGAATATCCATTTAGATATGAACATTGTAGTGTTTATAATGAAGATAAGTTATTTATATTTGGAGGTTTAAGCTAAAATGGATTTTTAATGTATAATCCTATTTAAATATAAATTAAATTTAAAACAATTCGTAAACATAATTGAATCTAATTTATATATTTTTATTTATAGTAAATATACATTTCAAACATATGTAAATAAATAAAGTCTGTTGTTTTGGAGCAGGTTATGTGGGAGGACCAACAATGGCTGTGATGGCCTCTAAATGTCCAAAACAAACATTCGTTGTTTATGACATAAATGAATTATAAATTAACAAATGGAATAACAAGCAATATCCAGTATATGAGAAAAATTTAGATGAATATATAAATTAAACATTGGATAACAATTTAATATTCACATGTGATATAGATATTGCTTTAAAGGATTGTGACATCGCCTTTCTAGCTGTCAATACTCCAAGTAAAAAATATGGACTTGGAGCTGAATCATCATTAGATATATCATATATAGATAGTTGTTTATAAGAGATTAAAAAATACCCTTTAACTAAAAAGTTAATATTAGTAGAAAAATCAACTGTTCCAATTAAAACTTGTGATTATATAAATGCTGTTCTAAAGGATAAGAATATTTGTGTTCTATCTAATCCTGAATTTTTAGCTGAAGGCACTGCTATCCAAGATCTTCTTAATCCAGACAGAGTCATTATTGGTGGGACTATTGAATACGCTTAGTAATTGGCATCATTGTATTAATAATGGGTACCAAAGGAGAAAATCATATTCACCAATATATACTCAGCTGAATTAAGCAAAATTGTTGCAAATTCTTTCCTTGCTCAAAGAGTTTCTTCAATCAATAGTATATCAATAATTTGTGATAAAATTGGTGCTGATGTTAATGAAAGTAATTTGATCAGACTCTCTTAATTTATTAGTTTCTTAATGCGTAGGGAGCGATAGTAGAATTGGTAATAAATTTTTGAAGACATCAGTTGGATTTGGTGGATCATGTTTAAAAAAAGATCTCTTATGCTTAATTTATTTATGTGAATCACTATAATTGGATGAAGTAGCACAATATTGGAGATAAGTGTATTTACTAAATGAATTTTAAAAGCAAAGATTTTATAATCTTATAATTACATCTATGTTTAATAGTTTAAGAAATAAAATTATTGTTATTTTGGGAGTAACATTTAAAGCTAACACCAATGATACAAGAGAGAGTGCTTCTTTGATGATTATTCAAAAATTATAAGAAGAATAGGCAATATTGAGAATTTATGATCCCTAAGGTAAAATAGATAAGTTGGAATAATATTAGAGTTTGGATGGTATATTTTAAGGAGCATCTGCTATAGTGATATTAACAGAATGGGAAGAGTAAAAATGATAAGATTATTATGATAGGTTTACAAAAATAGATTACGCTCAAGCTTATAATTAAATGGCCAAACCTTCTTATTGTTTTGATGGTAGGAATTTATTATAAGGGGATATAATGAAGTCTCTTGGATTTTTATATTATGGATTAGGTAGAATATGAATTTGAAATATTTATATATCAAAGTATGATTTATTTATAAAATTATCTTTAATGTCTGAATAACAATAGTAATATTGGCCTATTTTTACAGAGAAAGATGAGATCAAAACATTTTGGAATAAGAAATCTATCAATTTTGCTAAATAAACAATCTCATATCAGCAATTAATGAAAAGAATTAGTTGGAAAAGTAACAAACCTACCGAATATGAATTTATATTAAGTGAAGAAGGAGTGTTATTTTATAAGAAAAATAATAAAGTAAAGGGATATGTTTAATTGAATGAAGATATTAGCTTAAAATTGATTGATCTAAAGATTTCAAACAAGAAAACAGACGCTGTTAAGGTTATAAGAATAAAGAGAACTAAAGATATATTTATATATATATGGAATTAAGATTAGTATTATATAATTGTATTACTAATTTTAGTTAGTATACCTTTCAATTCCTGAAATATTTGTGTTAATTTTGTTTTGTTTAAAATTTAGATGAACTCTATACATTATAAGATATTATAGGAAAAGGTGGATTCTCAAAAGTGTATACTCTCACACCAAATATCAGACTTCCAAATCAACCATTCAATTATGCTGGTAAAGTTTATAATAAAAACGAATTATTATCTAAAAAAGACCTTAAAAAATTTTATCATTTCATTCGAAGCGAGTGTTATGTATTAAAAAGAATCAATTTTCCTTATGTACTTAAACTATGTGAAATCATTCAAATGGATGAATTACTTAGTATTAATTATATTCTATTTATTTTTAGTTTTAGTAACAGAATACATTAAAGGAGGTTCTCTCTATCAATATTTAAAGGATAGAAAACGGCTAACAGAACTAGAGTCTACTCAGATCTTACTCAAATTAGCATTAGGCTTGTAATAAGTTCATAAGTATTAAAACTTCTTTATTAATTAAGTCTAGGATATGTTCATAGAGATATCAAATTAGAGAATGTTCTTATAGATAAAGATTAGTTAAAATTAATAGATTTTGGATTTGCAGAAAAAATATGCAGAGAAAGACTTGTTAATGGTTAAGGAACAGCTGGTTATATTGCACCAGAAGTGTTTATGAAATAACCGTATTAAGAAGTAGGGGACATTTTTAGTTTAGGAGTCATATATTATTCAATGTTATCAGGTAAGGCTCCATTCAGATCTAATTCATATGATGCCTTACTTAAATTAAATAAAGAATGTTAGATTGACTTTTCAGAATTAAGATTCCCTAATATTAGCTAAAAGACTATGTATCTTTTAAAAGCTATGCTTTAAAAATAACCAGAAAATAGAATTAATTTGTAAGATCTCTTAAATCAACTAACTATTTCTTAAATCTTATCCCCTACACATAATATGGCTTCTACATAATCTGTAGTTGATGGCTCTGTAGGTTTAAGCTTTAATCATTTGTAATCTAAAAATACTTTAAAATCATTTTATTAAAATAGTCAAAATTCATTTACTGAGAATCATAGTTAAATCTCCGAATAAAAACCATCAAAATAATAAAGGAATAGAAGATATAAGAGTTAGAGCTTAGATAAGAAAGGAATGTTTTTTAAATCATCATCTTTTAAACCATCACTTAGAAACATATATCAAATTAAAATTGAGTAATCTGATGATAATATATCATAAACAGATTTAGAGTAACCAATACCTTAAGAAAATCTTCGATTTCTTTAAACTTCTTATCAAACATTAAACTACAAAAAGTTTATTTGATTTATATAATAATGTGTATTTATAAATATATATCAAATAGAGAGTTTTCATAATAAAATTTCTTTAAATTGTTTCTATTCACATACCAAAAATTGATGATCTACTATTCTAAAAATTAAATAAAAATATATCTATCTATATATGAAATTCTATATAATATATATTCATATTAAAATTTGTGTAAATTTGATTTTTTAATAGTCAAAATTATATGTTAATTAATATTATCAAAGATTTATGTTTGAATAGCATAATATTTTATTAAATGCAATAATATTGATTGGACTTTATTTAAGAATAGTGCTGTCTTAATGTGAAGTAAGAATATTGGCAAATTAAGACATTTTGAATGCTAATAATAATGATAATGTATTAATTGAAAGAGACTCTTAAGAGAAATTAAACTTTCTGGATGATTAAACTTAATAGTAATTTTAAATTGTATTAGATTAAAAGGAGAAGATAATATCAACACAGTTTATTGAGTCTCTTTATGATGATTTTGATGCAGAGAAATGGTTATGTTAATTAGTTTAGATTAAAAATCAATATTATATCTCTTGTATTAGTAATATTTATATTGATGATGAAGGTAACACTAATATAAAAAATGAAGAAAATATTAGATTAAATATTGAAATATCTAAAGATGATTAATGTCATCAATTTTATTTAGAAGAAAACTTAGAATTCATTATATTTTGCAATACAAAATAAAATTTAAACATATATTCTGTGAATCTATTAAATTAAACTAAAATTGAATTATCCTAAGAATATATCTTTGAGAAAGGCAATATTTGTCCATCTTTATAGTTTCATAGAATTAATTATGGAAATTACCTTTTAGCCTTTATATAATGTAAAAATTGGCAAATCCTTAGATATCAAGATAAAAAAATATCTGTTTTATCTAATTCTTAATTAATGTCTTAAATATAAATTCTTAATTAAGCAGAATTTTGTAAAGATTAAATAGTGTTAATTGAAGATCATTCTATTTATTTTTTTAGATTAACAGAATCTTTTAATTTTTTAAATTCTGAAACTAATAATAATCAAATTTTTTATAAAGTCTTATTTTCAAAGTCATGTCATTTAGAATACTATATGTTAATTTAAGCTATAGATAAGCGCAAAACATTATATGAAAAATATAAAGAAATTCAACAACCTATTGATTAAAAGGTTATTTAAATTTATTCTGCATTTAATTATTTATTTTTTTAATACTATAATAAAGTATAAATAGTTTGGTTTGGAGATTAAACATTTGAAATCATTTGTTTTCCTTAAAGTATAGTTTTTATTGATTAGTATAACTTATTCTATATAATTGATAAGTAGAATTAGTTGATTAGTTTTTATAAAATTAATAAATTATTTAATTATTTATAACCTACTAAAAGATATGTATATGAAATACCAAAATCATATTAAAGAAGTTATACATTTTAATGTTATGAAATTCTTTATGAGGATATTAAAACAAAATCTAATATTATAAATTATGAGTTCAAGAATGAATGTCAGTCAAAAGAGGAAATCATTGTTAAAAAAGATAACTACAATTTTCCTAATTATTAGGAATTTTTAAATCTTGGAGAATACTAAAACACAATTAAGTATATTATATAGAATGTATATTTGAAAGAATTTTGTCCTGTTATTGAATAATATTTAGAAGAAAATGAATTATTGTATTATCAACCAACAAACTTAGAAAATTATGCTATTCTTAATTCAAATGATACACTCTAAGTTTTATTTTGCAATAATCAAAGCTCATTAGAAAAAGATGTTAGAAACTACCAAGTAATTCAATTTTAAAATGGAATCCTTTTGATTAAGAAAAAACTATAAAATACTAAAGTTATATATTATTCAATTGGTCTAAATTAACAACATTAAATTTAAATAAATTCTTAAATTTAAGAAATACTTTAATTTAAATAGTATGTAATATTATAGACTGAAAATTAAGAAGATTATCTTTTTTTGGATATTTTAAATGCTAGAAAATGCGAGATTTCTAATAAATTGAAAAATATGTTAAATATATTAAATAAAGATTAAATTTAAAGTAAAATGATTAGATTTTATTTTGATTAGTTTCCTTTATTTTAAATTTATTAAATCAATAAATAATTGGTTATAGAAAAAGCAGATTTAATTTATACATATAAAATGAATGACTTAAGTGTCATTTACACTGGTGAATCTATGAAATTATCACATAATGAAATACTTTTATATAAATATTGTGTAATAGCTATACACAATAAATATAATATTATCAAATAATTTATATTAGATGATTCTCTAAAACTATTTGAAAATTATTAAATAGAGGATTATGATTTAATTAGACCTATAGTATTTTAAAACTCATAGGAATTTTTAGTAATTGCATTGATTCAATAAGATTAAAATTATTTGTTTATATTTTAAATTTATTAACCTCTTAAATTAATAAAGATTTTAAAAATAGGTAAATTAAAATTTCATTTAATTAATAATCTACTATATTATTATAATAAAGACTAGGAAATCCAGATTTTTAATGTCAAATACATTACAATTTCATATATGAATCTTGCTGAAAATTAGAAATAAATAGTTTTAAATGAAAAAATACCAATATTATTTAAACATTAAATAGAGGAAAACCCACAAGATCAATTATATTTGGAAATAAAAGTTAATAATTATTGTAGAAAGTTGAATTCATAACAAAATGAACAAATAATTTATGTTGAAGAAAAAGAGATGATAAGGATTGAAAATATAGATATGTTCTATGGTCCTATTGATTAGTTATCATTAATAAATAATCCTAAATTATAATTGGTAGGGCCATTTTTATAATAGTAAGAAATTGAAGAATGTCTAATATAACAAGAAGTTTGTTATACAAATATGGTATTTGAATAAACTGTGAATGATGAATAATAAACATTATTCTATAGTTTAAGGTATTATAATAAATATAAAATTCTCCCATTTTATTCTATTAAAAATTTAAAAGAAAATGAAATCATCACCAAAGATGTTTTCATTTTTCGAAATAATTTAGTATTATACTTCTCTGAAATAAAAAAATTAGTATTTGCTGATGTTTTATATTTTAATAGGACTTTATTGAATTAATAATATGATAAATTAGAATTATAGGGATTTAAAAAAGATGACTTTAAGTAAGCTTAATTTTATCAATCAAATAATTTGATATTAATAAAAACAAATTAATCAGAAAAATTACTAAAAGTAACTCAAAATCAGATTGCTGAAATTGAAATAAATTTTAGTTTAGCTAATATTCTATTTATTGAGAAATCTGATAATCAATATATAGAAATGAAAATCATAAATAAACTAGATGAATGTTATTTCTTATTCAATATTTTTTAGTTAAAGAATACTGATTTACTTATAAAAAATTCTATTAAAATTGAATAAGATAAAATAGAAAGTATTCTTTTTACACAAATTGATATCGAAATATATTAATTACAAGAATATTTTAAAAATTAATTACTTGAATCATATCTAATTGAAAATGAAATTGAATTAAAGGTCTTACAAATAGGATTGAGTTTTTCAGTAATAAGCAAAATTACAATAAATTTAAATAAATAGAATAATATTTATGATACTATATATGATATTTAAAAGATAATTAGGCATCCAAAATCATATGAAATGCTAAATTTTGAATATTATGATAATAATATTCTAATTTTATCTAATTCAAATAATAAATAATCATTTTTATATGATTTAAGATAGATTAAACAATTTTATGATTATATTTAAAAAATAGATGATAATTTGTTAAAACTATATCCTTTAAATACTACACATTACTTATTTTATTTTAAAGAGATCAATCAATTTATAATAGGAGAAATAGGATTTGAAATCTAGAGATTAGAAGACCTGGATGATGTTGAAACTTGTATTATAAAGGCTTCAAATTAGGTATCACAATCTTAATTCACATTAATAATAAAAAGAGTTATGTTTTTATCAAAAGAAGCTAAGATAATGACAACATCTGCAATATTATTAGGATCATTCTATTTATTAAGAAGAAATAAATTAAAACAATAAGAAATCTAGAATCAGATATCTATAAATTCATAAATAATTCAAATAAATAATGATTGATATATATATATATATTTAGATTCTAATTCTTAAAAATAACATTTGAGTATTTTATTAGTTCTATATTACATTTTATTAATTATTATAGATTATGTTTAACTATAAGAAAACCTTAAGTTTTATGATTTTGAATATAATATTAATAAAAAGAATAAAAATGAATTAAAAATCAAATGTACCATAAAGTGTTATGGATTTTTACTTAGAACATAAATTTGAAAGGAGTTTTATTGAAAGATGTTGGTAGGAATCAAAAGGTGATGAATTTATAATGGATGATTTGATATGGAAGGGTTAGGAAAATACCTTTTAATAAAGTAGTTCTCAAGTAAAAGTATATTGAATCAAAAAGAATGACAATGCTAATTAGGATTGGTTTGAGGCTAGTTAATTAGACAAACATGTGTCAAAAATCATGTAATAAGTGATAAAGAAGAAACCCAGAGAGGCTAATAATTTTGTAGGAATTGAGAATCTAGAGAGTGATAGCATTATAAACATCATGCTTTAATTAATTCATTAAATTCCTTAACTTTATGAGTTTTTGTTAAGTATAAATAGTAATACTTCTAATGTAAAAATCTATTAAATTGAATTAGAAATCTGGATAATTTTTAAGATGTATATAATTGTTATTAACATAATTGACAACATCTAATACAAGTTTGATCAGTTCAAAGTAACTATTAAATGCATCTTTTTGGAATCAATAAGATTAGGATTATTTAGAGATTGAGAAAGATCCTATTCTGATATTTTTCTTTCTTTTAACAAAAATTGATTAATCTTATAGAGAATTGACTAACAGTCTTTTAGGAAAAAATGAGAATTTTTTTATCAGAGAATTTAATTCTATTTTTAATACTATAATTATGAACAGATAGATATAAGAGAAAATATACATATTAGTGACAGAAATGAAGTAAGTTAGTGTTTATAGTTTTTTATATGAATAATACAAATAAAAAGTATGTGCATTACCATAGATATTATGCATTTAGATAAAAAGATATTAGAATAATATTAGTAAGATAAATATAATAAATTTAGAAATAGAATAGGCATTCGATATAAATTAAGTATTAGAACTTGGTTTTTTGAAAATAAATTTCCAAGGATAATAAGTTAATGAAACAAACATATATGATTTAGAAAAATTACAAATGGATATAAGAAATTTTAGTAATACTATTCAAATGTTTACTGAAGAGGGAACTCAATAAGATATTATTAAAATCTTATAATCAAAATTACATACTTTAGAAACTTTATCAATGTAAAAATTTGACAATATATAAAAATAAAAATAAGCTTTAGAATTCTCATATCATGATAACAATACTAAATATGCAGTTCATTCGATTACAGTCCAAAAAGGTTAACTTAGTAATTCTTTAATACTCTATGTCTATAATTTCAAATCTAAAAAATGGTTAAAATTTTAAAATAGTAAATGTAATATTGTTGAAGATGAAGAAGTTACAATATATTCTTAAAAACATGCTTTATTTGTCACCTATATTAATACAAATTTAATACCACAATTTATTAATCATTAAGAGAATTTGATTGAAATTGGTAATATAGTATCAGCAAATGATAGTTATGATATAAATTAAAATCGAAATTTAAGAAATTTAATACCTAAAGATATTTTAATGGAAGCATATAAAATTAATTTAGAAAATAAAAAATAATTTAAATGATTTTTATGATTATTATTTATGCAAGTAAAGGATTAGATTATATATTCTATTAATATAATTATTTTTAATATTCATATATTAATCATTTAAATGAAGAAAATATTTATATTATTAGTTTAAATTATCTCTGATTATTGTTGTATTCATATATAATTATATATCTAAATTGTTAATAAATAATAATAAAGTTAGACTTGTATAATAAATAATGATTTTATAGAATTTTGTTTTAATCACTTTATAAGTATTAATTTTATAAAATATGGATGATTAGATTTAAACAATTAGATAATTATAATTAACTATTTAATTGGCTTCCAATGAAAATAAAGAATTAAGAGAAAAATGGTTATTGTTGAGATCATAATATGATCCTGAATTAGATACTAAAATAAATAATCTTGAAAAGACTATCTTATTTCAATAATAATAAATTGCTTAATTATAACAATAAAAACTAAATAGTAGCAACATAAAAGACTTAGACAATGAAGATGAATAATATTAAATTCAATAATTGAATTTGAAAATAAATGAATTAAATTAGTAATTAATCAAATATTAAGAAAATGTCTTTCAAATTTAATCATAAATAAGAAATTGTTCGGAAGAATTGTCTGATTTACAACAAACTTTACATTAACATAAAACAGATAATACAATATTTAAAAAGAAAGCTTAATAGATGGAATAATTATTATCAAAAGTTAGAGGATAGGAACCATAATCTATATGTTATATAAATGAAATTGATAGGTTAACAATAAAATTATAATAATTATAGAAAAATAGCTAAATAAAATCAAGATTAACATATTAAATTTGATAATATTTAAATAACATTATAAATCAATATCAATATTAATAAATTTGAATTAAACTACCCTATTAAGATAAGTTAGAAATTATAAAGCATTATTTTAATTTCATATATTTTTATAATATTCATGGATTTATGTTATAATATTCTTACACACAATTTTCCTATAATACCTACTTATTGAATTGAGAAATAATGAAGAAATCAAAGTAATTCTTAGGATTTTGAATAAATAAAAACTATTATATTATATCTATGTAATAATAATAATTTGAATGTTTTAAATAGAACAATTTGTATTTTGATTATTAATTTATTCAAATATGTAAAGTGAGAGAATAAAATCAAAAAAAAGAGTTAAGCATTACGAATTTCTTTATGATTCTAAGATTGGTTCAGGTGCTTATGCAAATGTGTATATGGGAAGGGATATTTATAATGATTCAAGTACTTAAATTTGATAAAAATAGCTGTGGCAATAAAAATTATTAGTAATAATTTAATTAAGAGCGATTACACATCTTAACAAATAAAGAGAGAAGTTGAGATAATGAAATCATTAAATCATTAGAATATTGTGAAATTATTGGATGTATTTCATAGCACAAACAATATATATATAGTGACAGAATATTGTAATGGAGGAGACTTAAAAACATATTTAGGATCAAGAACATTAAGTGAAGAGAGAGCCCTTTAAATATTTAAATAAATCTTAAATGGATTATAAGAATTATTAAGGAATGGAATAGTTCATAGAGATTTAAAACCTGCAAATATTCTACTGTAGGATGGTATATTCAAAATTACAGATTTTGGATTTGCAAAAAGAGTATAAATGGATTCAACAATGTCATCACTTGTTGGAACCCCTTTGTATATGGCACCTTAAATCTTAAAGAGATAACCATATACAAGTAAATCAGATATTTGGTCACTTGGATTGGTTTTGTATGAAATGATTTACAAAATAACTCCTTGGCATTCAACTAATGTAGTTGAATTATTGAATAGATTAGATAAAGAACCATTAAAATTTCCATTTTAACCATAAATTGAATTATTAACAAGATAAATAATTATAGGTTGTTTAGGTAAAGAAGAGAAGGATAGATGGGGATGGGATTAATTGATGAAAGCAATTTAAGGGAATGAAAAATAGTAATTAATGAATATATATATGACAAAAGAATTGTATTATGTCACAAAGAAATAATAAATGCATAAACAATAATCTTAATAAGATTTATAAGAATATTGTAGAACAAGTAGCACTTAATCATCTCCTATAAGATCAATTAGTACAAAGAGATAAAAAACTATTACTAATGAAAATAACAGTAGTGTATTGTTATCTGAATTAATAAAGAAAAAATAATAAATCTATAAGATTTTTGAATTACTTGAGAANTGAATTGAGAAATAATGAAGAAATCAAAGTAATTCTTAGGATTTTGAATAAATAAAAACTATTATATTATATCTATGTAATAATAATAATTTGAATGTTTTAAATAGAACAATTTGTATTTTGATTATTAATTTATTCAAATATGTAAAGTGAGAGAATAAAATCAAAAAAAAGAGTTAAGCATTACGAATTTCTTTATGATTCTAAGATTGGTTCAGGTGCTTATGCAAATGTGTATATGGGAAGGGATATTTATAATGATTCAAGTACTTAAATTTGATAAAAATAGCTGTGGCAATAAAAATTATTAGTAATAATTTAATTAAGAGCGATTACACATCTTAACAAATAAAGAGAGAAGTTGAGATAATGAAATCATTAAATCATTAGAATATTGTGAAATTATTGGATGTATTTCATAGCACAAACAATATATATATAGTGACAGAATATTGTAATGGAGGAGACTTAAAAACATATTTAGGATCAAGAACATTAAGTGAAGAGAGAGCCCTTTAAATATTTAAATAAATCTTAAATGGATTATAAGAATTATTAAGGAATGGAATAGTTCATAGAGATTTAAAACCTGCAAATATTCTACTGTAGGATGGTATATTCAAAATTACAGATTTTGGATTTGCAAAACGAGTATAAATGGATTCAACAATGTCATCACTTGTTGGAACCCCTTTGTATATGGCACCTTAAATCTTAAAGAGATAACCATATACAAGTAAATCAGATATTTGGTCACTTGGATTGGTTTTGTATGAAATGATTTACAAAATAACTCCTTGGCATTCAACTAATGTAGTTGAATTATTGAATAGATTAGATAAAGAACCATTAAAATTTCCATTTTAACCATAAATTGAATTATTAACAAGATAAATAATTATAGGTTGTTTAGGTAAAGAAGAGAAGGATAGATGGGGATGGGATTAATTGATGAAAGCAATTTAAGGGAATGAAAAATAGTAATTAATGAATATATATATGACAAAAGAATTGTATTATGTCACAAAGAAATAATAAATGCATAAACAATAATCTTAATAAGATTTATAAGAATATTGTAGAACAAGTAGCACTTAATCATCTCCTATAAGATCAATTAGTACAAAGAGATAAAAAACTATTACTAATGAAAATAACAGTAGTGTATTGTTATCTGAATTAATAAAGAAAAAATAATAAATCTATAAGATTTTTGAATTACTTGAGAAGTAACTTGAAAAATTACCAATATTAAAATTGGATTAATGCAAATAATATTTGTAAGAATAGAGATCAAGATTAGTTTGTGCTAACATTGAATAGATTTATAATAAAGAAGATGAAAGAGAATTAATTTAGTAATAGAAAATTTTGTAATAATATTCAAGTAATTTTGGCATTTAAATTATGATACTTCTCCTTAAGAGTTATCGTAAGATTATTATAAATAATTATTAAACAGGCACTTTAAACTTGGATTATGCTGATAAATAAACAATTGAAAATTGTACTGTTTTAGTTTCAAATCAATACAAGTGATTATAGTATATTTATATATTATTTTTATTTTTATGTCAACATCAAGATTAGCAATTCGATTATATACTTATAGAGGTTATTCAGCTCCATGGAGAGTTAGCATTATGCTAAAATTGAAACAACTTCAATTCTAACCATTTTTTGTAAATTTACCTAAAGCTGAGTAATTATCAAATATGTATTCTTAAATCAATCCACTTTAAGTAATTATAAAAATTTCTATAAATTTATAGATTGTTCCTACATTAGAAATTAATGGATAATTATTACATGAAAGTATGGCAATTGCAGAATACTTAGAAGAAGAATTTCCAAGAAATAAATTATTACCTAAATCTCCTTTAGAAAAAGCTATTGTTAGGTAATTTATAATATATCTTTAGATCTATGTGTGAAACTGTAAATAGTGGCATACATCCATATCATGCATCTAGATTTTATAAATATGTTCACAATTATGTGAGTGATATAAATAGATAAGAAATTTCAGAACCTTTCTTAGATAGAGGATTTACAGGTTTATATTAAATATCATTTATTATAGCATTAAATACTTTAGTAGAAAAACATGGAGGAGATTATGCTTTTGGGAACCAAGTGACAATAGCTGATGCATTCTTGTATCCAGCATTTAGAGGAGATGATGTATCATATTTAGTCAATTTGGATAAATATCCAGCCCTTAAAAAAGTTGTTGAGAATTTGGATCAACTACCAGAATTTGCATATGAACATCCAGATTCTCAAGGATGATATTATTAATATGAATAAATATTTATTACAATATGTAAATTTCTTAGATTATTGTATGTATGATTTTTTAGGAGGACCAAAACCAATATAGATAAGATGGATAGTAAATTTATTTAAAGCATTAACTCTTCCATATATTGTACTGTTGATGTATTATATGTAACACTTTGAATTTGGAACTTATTTATATGTATTTTATTGTTTTATTTTAACTTTTTAGTTATCATTACATGGTAGTTATGGGATACTTTGGATAATAAAAGATTTTAGTTTTCCAGATTAGAATTTTTAGAAATACACAACAATTCCATCAGCAATTGGTGGATGTTTAATTTTGATTGCTTATTGGATTTTACCACTTATATAAGTAACTGGGTTTGGTTAGAATTAAATTAAACCTAATTTAGTATGTTTCATAATCATATTATATGTATTTGGAATTATTTTAATGATGTCAAGTGATTGTTAGAAATATTATACATTAAAATACAAGAAAGGCTTAATCAAAGACGGATTATTCAAAATGAATCGAAATCCAAATTATACAGGAGAGATTTTAATATATCTTTCATTTGCAATTATTACAAACAATGCTTTAAGTTACTGTATTGTTTTTATGTCATGGATTTTTATGTTTTTTCCTTTTATGTTGAGAAAAGAAATTTCATTAAGTCAGAAAGAGGGTTGGAATGAGTATTATAAATAAAGTTATCTTGCAATTTGGAAATTCTGTTAATCTGATATTATCAATATTGGATTATATATTATAATGATTGTATTTATAATAGTATTAATTCTATGATGAAATTAATTATTATAATAATATTTATTTAATCTAGAGTTATTAGATTACTAATAATTGAGATTTGGAAACTTGACCAATTTGAAGATGGATATATTTTTATAATTTTTATTGTTATTTATTTTAATGTATTAAAATTATTATATGTTTTAACCAAATATCAAATTATTTCTTCATACATCAAATTAAGTACTCAAATACTTTCTCTTAAACTTGTCTTATCAATGATTTCTCAGATTTATCATTTGTAATAACAATATCTGATTTTTTTATTTTGATTTCTGCCTTCATTTACGATTCAATTCTTTATAAAATTTATTCTTCAGTCAAACCACTTCTTTCTTTTACTCTATTATAAGAATATTAACATAACCTTTTAATAATTTCTTCTTGACTAGTCACAACTACTGTAATAATTGGAAAACAGAAATACTCTAAGACTTTACTCTCAAATAAGAGTGGTGCATCAATAACTACATATTAATCTTTTTGAACAAAACATATTTTCCATATGGATTTAGCTATTTCTTTAAAAATGAATTTATTTGTAATAGCTTGCAATTATTTCCTTTTTTGACTATCTTAAAATACTGAAAATGCTAATCAATACTAGTTACCCACTTCTGCTAATTTCTATCTATCAATTGGCTATCCATCTTGTTGACCTGCTAGAATTGAAAGTCCAAATCTCTGAACAATTAATTTATATGCAGGTTTACCAGGTTCAACAATGTCTCTGGCAATTTGATCACAATCGATTACTTAGACTTTAAGGAATTCATTAAAGTATTTAGCTATGGTTGATTTACCACAACCAATTCCTCCAGTAATACCTACAATTTGAACTCTTCCAATATAATGTTGAATTCCAAATATTATGATTAGGGTTATTATGAATCTTACTATTTTGTCAAAGAAATCAAAAAAATTCCATGTAATCAAAACATTGAATAAATAAACTGCAATGAAAAGGAATATCTCATCAACTCGATATCTATAATTTATATATGATATTGTGTTACCTTCTTCTAAATTTACGCTTGTTGAGGTTAATGAGTATGCATAATAGACATAATAAGGCTAAATAGAATGGATAACATATATATTCTATTATATGTATTTCTGTATGTTCAGAATGAATAATCTCTTCAATTATTACTTATTCTTCACTATTTAATTATTCCATTAAAATATTCGTTTTTTGTTTTTATTAATATATTATGAAATCAGCATTGCTTCTTTTAGTCATTGCTTTGGCAACAGCTTCAACAGTTACAGACCTAACTTAGAGATTATCAAACTATGCCGATCATCCTTTTGGATCTTCCATGATTAACTTAGTCAGTGTTAATATGAAAACTGGTGGATCACTCAATGAACTTAAATAACTTCTCTAACAAATCAAGGATGAATTAATTGCACTTACACAATTATAAGATTAAGAAAATGGCACTTTCACAAGAAGATCTCAAGTTGATCTTGCTAAACTATAAGCCACATTAGAATAAGCTTAATAAGATCTTGATAATCAAAGATAAGAATAATCCAGTCTTAGTAATGAATTGACTACCCTTTAAACCAGAGTTAAAGAAGATTAAGCAGCCCTTGACAGAAATGGCAGAGGCAGCTCTGATGCTTAATCTAGACTTGATGCTGAAAATGCAGATTTTGCTACCAAATACTCTGATTATAATGATGCTATCTTAGCATGCAAAGAGGCCTAAAGATTATTACTTAATTTAAGAGGAGAAGGTGCATCTCTTATTCAATTAACGTATTATTTAATATTTATATATATATAGTCAAGACACTAAGAGCAATCTTATTTAAACTAAAGAGAACTTCTAAAAGATCAAAGAGATTCTTGAAGCTCATACAAAAAAGAGTTCACTTACTCTTTTCTAACCAATTATTGAAGGTTTGGCTGAAATGACCACAAAAGTAAATCCAGAAACTTTGAATAATGTTTTAAGTTTGGTTGCTAGATTAATTACTGCCTTATAAGAAGGTTAAGATTAATTAGAAGCTAATCATAAGACTTAAGTAGAAAATCTTAGTAGATTGGGAGATGATTTAAGAAATGAAAAGCAAACTCTTTAAGTCTCTTTAGCTACAGCCAACAATAGACTTAAAGAAATCCAATCAAGATTAAATGAATTAGATGGTTTAATCAATATTTCTAATGCTATTGTTGAAGTCACCTAATTAAATATATAGGATGCCACTAGAATCAATGAATTAGAAGATTAAGAATATAGCAATCAAAAAGTTAGCAGGTATATATTATTATTAATTTAGATAAACTGAAATCGATATAGTAGATAGATTAATTGAATATATCAATCAAAAACTATCTGAATGATCAATAAATAAAATGCATATATTCAATTTTTATTAATAATCCAATTATATTTAATATTTATTTCATAATCTCATTAGTTACATACCTATTGATTTTTATAGAGATGCCTTTTTTTATTTTTAAATGCTCGTTTTCTTTATCGGTTATGCTTCTTTTTTACTTTATTAAGACTCCTCTTTATGAGATCTTGAAATATGACCACTAAAAATTATATTATATATTTTTACCCTAAAGAGCAAGCCTTTTGAAATGTTAAAGGACAGAATTTACATTTATATATCTTTTAAAATCGATTCAAATTTTTATTAAAGGTAAAACAAATTTCTCCTTCATCGATTTCTGTATTTCTAAAACTTAACTTTTATTATGATTGATTTTATAGTAGGTGACTCAATCTTCCCACTATTCCATTTATGTTTTATTAGATATATACTATCTAGAGTTTCTCAAAATCATCAGGTTTACCTAACTCAACTATTTATTAATAAGAATTATATACCAATTTATTCATCTTATATTTCTTTCTTTAAATTAAATACTTTCCATTAATTACTGTTATTATTAGAATAATATTTTTGTTATTGTTTCTCACAGACTTCCTACTCAATTGCTATATTGTTGTTCTTACAATTCAAGAAATTCAACTACTATATTTTAATATCTTGCATTTTTGATTCCAATTTTTCCATTGTCAAATCTAAAGCAATCATTTATTATTGTATGTTTCCCAATTAATTATAAAAGTTTTCATCATCCTCTCCTTTCTAAAATAAAAACTCAAACAAAATCTTACTTGTTAGACTTAACTAAAAGTCCCAAAATATGGCATTGCTTTTTGTTACCTAGCACTATATTCTTTTTGATCAAGTAAATCATCAAATGCTGGAACTTAGCTATTTGCCTTAGTTTACTTTGAAGAATTGTTATAAACTTATTAACTTTGTCTTGTAAAGATCGATCTCTATTACTTTGCACTGGATTAAAGATATTAAGATGAACTCCAAATATGACCTAATCTAAATCCTCTTCTTGGAGTATATTATTAATTTCTATAAGGAGTATCTGAAGGACATTCATAAATTTCTTCTTACTCAATAAAATTTTACTTTCTACTCATTTTATATTTAAACTTGTTTTTTAGTTGAAATTTATATAGTTAGGAACAGGCTAATTTTTCAGTCTGATTTCACTTTAATTATAATTTTATTTATATAATAAAATTTAATTACTTAAATCTATTAGAATAAGTTAGAATTATAATATAATTCTAGATGAATTTTAATAAAATTCTAGATGAATTTTGAAAATCAATTCTCAGTTATTAAATAATATTATTCAATCTAATTTATATTTGTTCTTAATTTAATTGATGACAAGTGTTATTTAGTCTTCACCTAATGAACTATTTAAAAATTATTTAACTATTGAATATTGTATAGCCATCATTGCAAAAAACCTATATAAACTAACAAAATACTAACCTAATATATTTAAGCAACAATTATGTCAAAACTAATGATAAAAGGCATTCAGTTAGAAATAAAATAGTTACATATGCAAGGATAAACTTTTAATTCTCCTTTTAAGGATTGTTTCTTGTAATTAAGTAAAAGGCAAATAATGAAATGAAATAGAACTTAATAGAATCCTGCATTTGATTATCTGATATAATTTACAGACTGTTAGTTAATTGCAATAAATAGTTTAGATTACTAAATGAAGTAGTCTGATTAAATTGAGTTTGATTTTAAATAATAGAGAGATGATTAGAAATATTATTGTATTTATCTAGTCTATCCTAAAATTAATTGACTAATTTTTACTTTCTCATTTTTTAGTGTATTTTAAAATACTTCAATAGCTGTAGTGAAATTGATACTATATTGATTCATTTTTTAAAAGTTATGAGTTAATAACTCAATGAGTTATTCATCATATTTTTATTGGTATTTAATATTATTAATGGAATTGGTTATTTAATTGATATTATTGAGTATGTTATGATAATTGCAGAGTAGATTGAATTGATTTAAAAACATAGTAAATATCATCCTAGATATGTAAGGTAGAGATACCAATCATGATCACTCAAGGATTCCACATTTTGATGAAGTGATCTATTGTGCATTTGATAATAGCATTTCATCATTTAAAGGACAGCAAATTGTTAATATTGATATTATTATTCATTTTGACAGGAGACAGCATTTAGACATGAAGAATAAGAAGGTATGATAAGTTGTAAAATTAGAAGGGATGAAATTTAAGACTTCATATTAAATAATTATATTATATAAAAGTAGAACTATCTAATTAATTATACATATAAAAAGATTTGTTGATATATATTTAAACAAGAAATTGCTTAATCAATTCTTATTTATTATATTTAATTAGTGTTTCTTTATTTTTTTTAGTGAAATTTAAACAAGCATATTGTCAACACATGAGTATTGTGAATGCTTCTGAAAATTTAATAAACATAAATTCACCTGACAATTCAAGAGCTACATTAGTATAGAAAAGGTGTAAGATAGATGCAGATTGGAAGAGTACATTCATGTTGTAAACAATAAGAAACAAGGCAGAGAAAAGAGAAGTCTTGATGAAGTGTATAAATAGAATGAGATAATCAACATAAGTAAATATGAGTAATAATGATAGGTGAAACAGTTCCATACATTGACAGAGAAGCAATTAAATGTGATAGATGATTTTGGATCAGGACATTCAAAAGGAATAATTAATAAACAAATAAAAAAGTAAGAAACACAATTTGAATCAACTTATTTTGAATCAAAGTTTTAGATTGGTAAATTAAGGGGATTAGTACTTAGATATATAGAGAAACATAACAAAAATTAGGAATGGTCAATAAAACCAAGTCATCCTTTCATTATTATTTGGAATATGTTTAAATTATTTTTTATGGTTCATATTTTCATTTTATTTCCATTAATTGATGCATTTGGAGTAAAATTAGAATAAATGATAGTCCAATAATAATAAATTTTTCTAATGGAATGGTTATTTCTAGTATGTATTTATTAATTATAAATAAGTTATTTGATATTGTATTAAGATTTAATGTACAAATTTATAAGAATGGATAATTGATAAAACAACACTAATATTTAGCATTATAATATTTGAAGAGTGGATTCTTTTTGGATGCTTTGGGTATTGTTGGATTTTCATTATTTCTGTTTCAAGATATATTATATATCAAATATATCTATTTTTTTAAGATATCTGAAATTAAAAAGTTTATTAAGTTCTTAAGATATGAATTAGATCCATAAAATAAATACAATAATCATATCAAATTGATTACTCTTTTTGTGACCATATTCCTATTAGCTCATATTATAGTAAGATAAAATTTAAATTTATATAGGCATGTCTATGGATAGTTGCTGGTCATAAAGAACCTAGTTGGTTAAGTAATAATGATTTATAAGATGATTAATGGTATATCTAATATCTATGGGCATTTTATTTTGCAATATTAACAATGACTACAGTAGGTTATGGAGATATTGTACCAGTAAATGAAATTGAATTGATGGCTTGTATCATGATTGTATTACTATCTAGTGCCATATTTGCATACACTCTTAATACAATTACAACAGTTCTTAAAGATATTGATTAGAATAAGAGTTAATTTAATTAAGAAGCAAGAATTATATAAAATTATTTAGTAAAAAAAGGTTGTGATACAGATTTATAAAGAAGAGTATAATAATATTTGAAATCTTTATTGAAATGGGGTTTGGGTGAATAAAAATAAAATGAAGATAGAATATTCTCTAAATTAAGTCTACCTTTATAATAAGAAATTAATTTATAAGATAAAGGTCAAGTGTTACTCAAAATGCCATTCTTAGTAAATAATTTTAATATTGAATGTATTAAAGAATTAATGTAACATATATAAGAAGTTTATTATTAACCTGGTGAATTAATTAATCCTTAAGATGGAGTTTATTTATTATATAAAGGATAAGCAGAAGTATGTTGGGGATCCAAAACTAATCCTAAACATATTTGTAATATATTTTAAGGTGATCATTATGGACTATTAAATTTATTTAATGTAGATCAACCTAAATATTTTCTCAAAAGTTCAGATTTCTCTATTTTCTATTTCATACCAACATAAATATTTAGATAAGTCTTGAAGAATAATGATAAAGAAGTTTTCTGTATGATTAATGATTAAGTAATTTATGAAAATTATTCAAATCTCTATTTATATTGTCCACTTTGCAGACGTGAAGGTCATCTCATTTGTTAAGATATTATCTATAAACCTAATAAAGCTATAGCTATTGCTAAATCTAATAGATATACTATTTAGAACAGATAAAAATATAAACGTTTCTTTGTAAAATAATAAATTTTGAGAAATTACAAAGAAATGTAAATAGAAACCTGTTAATTTATCAATGATAAAAGGGAAATTATGAAAATTAAATATAAATCAATTTTTGATTCTGATGATGCAGATGAAGATCCTGAAAGTTTAGAATTATAATCCTCTCAATCTTGGTAATTTGATGAAGCTTAAATGGATGAATAACAAATTTCTAATCATATCAAACCAAAAATTACTATATAAAAAAGACAAACCCCTAATAAAAGATAAACCATTCTTGGATTTTTAAGAAAAAATACATAAGATGTTATGTAAATCAATTTATAAAAAATTGAAGAAGTTGATACACCTCATAACAATAATTGTACTCCAAATTCAAAAGATAAATTTTATAATCTTGATGTTATGAAATCTTTTATGAAATATTTCAAATAGTACAATTATGACAACATTATTAAATAAATCAATAAAAAAAGAAAAACAATGAAGACAAAAATTAAAAGATTACCAAGATTCTCTTGAATTAATATAATAATATTCCTTTATTTTCATTCATTATTACTTACATCAATTTCATAGTTATTTTATAATTCTTCAAATTATTAAAACTCTCCTCTAATACTTTAATCTTCTATTCCTATTCCAACATACCAATGTATAAATGCCCTTCTCTAATAAAGAATTTATGCTTTCTTATGCATTTAAATTAATTATTCTCCTACTCCTGTACTTCTATGTATAAAAACCATATTCTATTTACAACTTGTGATCTATTAAAATTATTCTTTATTTTTTATTATCTACCCTCCTTATTATTCTGACTAATAAATTGAGTATTATTTATTTTCTACTAATTCAGATAAAGTTCTCGACAATATTGATTAATTGATTTATTCAGCATATAAAAATGCTTATTTATAATAAGGTTTTTTTGAATTGCAAATATAGGAGTTTTAGGATATAATATCTGTTAATGAATTTTAATTTAGTTTCTTAGAGTAGTCTTTTTAATCATAATTAATTAGAGGTCCAAAAGAGCATGACCAAAGATTTAGTTTATTTTTATTCCATAAATTCATTTTAAGTATTTACAAAGACTTTTATTAATTAAATTTTAATAAAGATATTATTGGATGTGTAATAACCTAATTAACTTCATTAAATGAAGGAAATTCTATATCTAATTGATTTTCAATCATATTATAAATAGCTTCATTTTATAATAATATTACACCATCAAATGATTCAACCATTGAATTCAAACTCATTATAGAATTATATGATTCAATAACATTGCTATTATAATTTGGAGATGGAATCAAGCAAAAACTAAAACTAATAGACTTATTATATTCAGTCCTTAATAAACTTGAAAGAAGAGTAGTATATCCAGAGCCAAAGCCTCCACTAATAGAATGAGTAAATAAAAAGCCAGAAAATTTATCACAATTTTCTATTTATTTTCTAATTTCGTCCTATATTTTTGGAATTAAATCTTTTGCTACACAATAATGTCCTACAGTATATATATTTCCTGTGTCTTCTTTTGTATAAAAGAATTGATTAGGAGAGAAATTAGGTTCATCATATTTTGGAACTTAATCATCTATAGTATTTATAAAAATTGATCGAGGTTTATAGGATTAGAAAGAATTTTCTTAAAAAATTGATGGGAGATCTTCTTAACGATGTTAGGACAAATTTTACCATAGTTTTGATCCAATATTAGATCCTGCTTCTCCAATATGGATAGTAATCAATTGATTCATATGATTGTAGATTTTAATAATGAGTTAAATGAATTAGATAAATAATAATATATTATTATATATTTAATGTATGCATAATTATCATGCTAAGAGTCCTTTTCCTTCAGAATGTAACCAACTAGGCATTGTTGGTTTAACTTTTTTGCCCTTAGTTGTTGATTTCTTTTCAACTTATTGTGTTAGTTCAGATTTGAGTTGAGAAACCAAGGATGAATCAAATTTGCTCAAGTCTCTATTATTATTAATGGCTTCTAGGGCATAGAATCTTTGGAAATCAAATTTTTCACTTAAATATTGAATTTTTATAATACCCTTCTTTAACAATGGATCCAGGATAAAGATCAATAAATCTATTGACATTTATTTCAAATTATCTTCTGCCTTCTTCAGTTGCTAAAGAATTTAGATTAATTAATCAGTACTTAATTCTGCTTTAAATGGTTTAGGAATATTTGCCAATTCTTCCTTTGAGTATTCAAGACCCTTATACATGACTTCATTATAAAAGTATCTATCCCAAGAATCAACTCTGAGGAGACCGAAAAAGAGGAACCATTCAAGAGGTAATATTTTCTATAGGATTGTTCCTCTTGCAGTAGGTGTCATATCACTCATGTAATTTTGATAGACATAATTGTCCCATTCATATATATTTTAAACGCTATCAGCCAATGTTCGCTCTCTTGCTTCTGCTTATAACCATTCAGGTGCTGTAGATCCTCTGACACCTCTTTCGACTTTTGAGAATCTTGCTCTCCTTTTATTAAAGAGAATCCAAGTATAGGGATGGAATCCTTCTCTTTAAATATGTTCAAATAGTGGATCTCTTCTTAACTCTCTATCTTAAAATAAAAGTAAATCTTCTAATGCTAATCCTCTATCCAAACCAATATTTCTCATCCATCGATAAAGGAATCTTAAAATGAAGAGATCATTGACTACCTTGCAAATAAGGGCTCAACCATCTTATAGATGAGACCAGTCCATCCTTAAGTGAATAATTTGACTGCTGATAGTGTCATAGCTGGTGTTCGTGGTTCAGAGTACCATTTTCTGGGAGACCCAATAATTCTTTGTCTATTAAGGGCACGAATGTTGACTAATTATTCATAGACGAGTTTCTCTAGTCTAACCATAGATGTAAATTAAATCTTTTTTTTTATTTATATTTACTATTAAATGGACTAAGAAGCATTAATGAAAATGCTACAAGCTTTAATGAAAGATTAAGGAGAAATTAAAATTGGAAATTTTGTTATATAACAATAGGAACCTAAAAGAAATAATACTACATTAATTTCACACAACAAAGTTGATATTCCACAAATCAGCAAAAGCCAATAAGACATAGATTACATAACAACTAAACCAAATGATTTTGTGAACGATCTATTTTTTGATGAACCATTGCCAGATTTGGATCAATTCATCGAACAGGAAGTAGTATCAAATATTACAATCGATTCATAAACAAAGCCTAATAATGTTTAAAAATAGTTGTTCTCTAAAACCTATTAGATGATAGATAAATTCAGTCCTAACCTTAAAGAAGAATTTGAAAGTGCTTTAGAATATGATTTTGAATAATTACTCAAACCGAAAACATCAGAATGTTCCTCCGACACTATGACTACCATTACAGATACTACATCCAGTGACCCTTTAAGAACCTTCCTCATGTCTCTTATTCCCATGAAATCTTCTCTCTCTCCAACAAAATAAACTTAGATTGATTTTTTATTTTTGTACTCTTAACCTCTGTTACAAATCACAAATAATTCAACTAAGAAAGTGTTATAGAAATTGGAAATTAACAAAGAATTGAATTCAATTAAAGAAGTATTTATAGATGTCAAAGCAGAAATTAAATTTATGGCAACGCCAGCAAGAATGGATAGATTTGGAGAAGCCTTAGATTTGAATCCAAAAGCATTGCATTATGCAGGACATGGAATCTACATGGAATCAAATTAATAATCATATCTCTTATTTGAGTAATTACATGGAGTAGCATAATTAGTTTCAGCTAATCAAATTCTTTTAAGTCTCTAAAAACTCAAATCTCCAATCTTATTTGTATTTGTAGCTAGTTGTCATTCAAAATTAATAGGAGAAGTATTTCATTAGGCTGGAGCTGAACATGTTATTTGTGTACATACAAAAGAATAAATTATGGATGAAGCCTGTTGTGTCTTTGCAAGATCATTCTATCATAGTTTAATTAAAGGATAATAAACAGTATGTTAAGCATTTTTAGCTGCTAAAAATTAAGTCAAAGTTGAAGGAAGATTCCCTTATGCAGAAGAAAATAAATTCCTTTTGCTTACAAAATCTCATCATTAATGTTCAACATGGTTATTAAGAGAAGGAGAGTTTAAAGATCTTACTCCTCACTAAAATTAAAATAATCTCCCTTCTCTTGTACCTAATTTCACTGGAAGATCTTAATAAATGTAAGAAGTTATTGACAAAATAATTTAAAATTAACTTATTAATATCAAAGGAGTATTGGGTATAGGCAAAAGTGCATTAATAAAGGAAATTAGTATTTATATAGCATAAAGAAATATTTTCAAAAATGGAGTTGTTTATATATAACTTAATTAATGTGATAGTTTTGATAGTGTAGCTAGTAGATTTGCTTAAATATTCATGCCAAATTTAGCATTACAAAGTAATTATGAAATCAAATAATTGATGGTCACTCAAATAATTTAAACAATTAAAAATTAAGAATTCCTTCTAATTCTTGATAATTGTGATTTAATTATGCATTCTAATGATCGTGATGTTTTTGTGGATTTTCTTGAATTAATTTTAGCAAATTGTAAATGTCATTTATGTATCACTAATAGAAGTGAAATTCTTTAATAAGGAAGAGTAATTAAGATTGAAGGATTACCATAAGAAGAAAGTGCTTAATTATTTATTAATTCATCTTCTAGAGAAATAACTATTTAAGAAGTTGAAGAATTGTTAGGTTGTAATGATCTTCTTAATAAATGTACTTTGAATGATAAACATTTGATCTCCAAATTTTCAAATCATGCTTTATTTTAAATTTTAGATGGTCATCCTTAAGGGATTATATTATCATCAGGATTATTGGAGAATTATACTCTAAAAGAATTATATCAATAATTATCTTATAAATAATTGATGGATTTACCTATTTCAAGTAGAGTTACTGAAGAGGAAAGAAGATCACTTAGAGTATCATTAAATTTAAGTTGGGCAAACTTAGTGGAAAGATATGAAAAAGCTGCTATCTTTTTTGGTATGTTAGGATTATTACCATGTGGAATATATAATGATGAATTAAATGATGTATGGGGACCAGGATGGGAAAAATTGGCAACATAATTAATAAAGAGTTCTTTATTATTATAAAATAAGAAAAATACTAAAACACATTATTGTTTATATAATTTTACTGTTAAATTTGCAGAAAGTAAATTGGAATAAAAATGGAAAAGAGTATATCATCATAATATTGTTAAATTATTACTAAAAAAATCATAAACTTATTATACATAAATAGGTACATAAGCACATGATTTAAATAATTAACCAAATGAAGATTTTTTAGCAATTGAATAAAATATAAAGAGTGCTATATTTAGAGAATTTGAGATTATATCTAATGGTTAATTTGAGATTGAACCATTAAAATAAGAAAAAAAAGATGATGAAAATGATGATGAAACATTCAATTTACCTTTAACTAAAGAAAATTTAGAAATGATGCAAAAG